AAGAGTTATTTTGTGTGTTCTAGTAATAGATGCAGGAGCCCAGGTCATTGTCTTTTCATGTCTGTGTAATAACTTAAAAAAATTCTTTTTTAATTTTTAGAACCTAATCCACCAATAGATCAAGTTATACAGAAACCAGGAGTTGTACAGAGATTTGTGAAATTTCTTGAAAGAAATGAAAATTGCACTTTACAAGTGAGTTGTTCTAAAATTTTCTTTTTTAACCTTTTTCTAGAAATAAAATGATTAAAGTTTCTAGTGAAAGAAATTTCTTCTGTACTCAGCATATTGTAAGCATTCAATAACTACTTGACAATTAAAGGAGAAAGTATCACCTTCTGGCCTTGGTCATGGTTCCACTGCTAGATTTTTCTAGAAATAATCTATTAAAAATTTTTGGAGAAGTATGTAAAATAATTCCTAATGTTAATAAAAAATTTTGTAGCGTCACCTTTAATAATTTTTAGGAAACCTCAAACTAAAATGCTAATTTAATGGTGTCTTGGTTCTCTACTGCTGCTATAACAGAAATACCACAAGTAGATGGCTTTAACAAACCAGAATTTATTCTTTTATAGTTTAGGAAGTTAGAAGTCCAAATTCAGAATGCCAGCTCTGTGGGCTGGGTGAAGACCCCTTAACTTTGGGCTTTAGCTCTGCCTCTGGTTCCAGGCCCACTGGAACTGGAAGGTTCTTCAGACTCATACAGCTACTGGCTGCTGAGGCTGATGAGCCCAAGATTGGCAGGTAAAATGGCACAATCCCAACATCAGCAGGCAAAATGGCAGGCCACTGGTTCAAGTCCAAGAACTGGTAGTTGAAGACTGGGCCAAATGCAGGATCCAAAGGTGCCAAAAAACCAGAGACCTTCCTCAAATCTTCTCCATATATACTGGAAGCAGGCCACAGCCTGAAGGCAACTACTTAGCTACTCACAGCAGATTACCTCATAGAGGTGATTACAATCTCATCATGGGCAATAACTACATCCAGCTGCCAAGCCATTCAAAACCACATCCCAGCTAAGTTGACACAACCTTAACTACCACAGTT